ACAGGATGATAGAATACAGACTCTTATTAATACCAATAAAGTATTATGTAGTGATAATTAATCATTTTTAAAATACAAACAATTAACATTACGTACTTTGCAGATATACTGTAGGGGAAGTTCTTACTTTCAATTATCATGTGTGCAAGTAATATAAATGTTTGTGTAGTAATAGAAAGTTTATGGGATTGAGTAAGTTTTTCTTTCTCTGCATAATTCATTCTGTTTCTACTTGTGATATCAAAGCATATGATGGCAGATGATAATTATTATACATATATACATTACGTATGTAAATATTGCAATATAAGCACACCTACAATTGATTTTGTATGACAATTTCATGACATAATTTTGGAAATGTGATGTATAAGTTATTTTTTATATGTAAAAACATATGTTCTCTGACATAACCCAGTGGTTAACAAAAAAGAGTACATTTTAAAAGTAAATTTTGATAATAGAGTAAAAGATTTGTTTGATTATTCTATGTGTCTACAGTTAATGAAAACATTTTCCTTTTTTTCTAGATTTTATTGGAGAAGCAAGTATTTCCAAATATTTTATTTGGAGAAATAAGTATTTCCAAAGAGCAAAAATCTCATTCAATCTATGGACCTCAAATATACTGCTTTTTTATAAACAGAAAAACACTTTTGGTAGTAATTTTTCTGATGTTATTATTGATTATTGTACTGTGTAAAAGTAGGTGACTTTTAATAATGTCTTCAATATGATAATATTTGATATAATTTACTCAGTATTCATAGTTTCTAATCTACAATGGTGGACATATACTTAGGGAAGTATGAATATAATAGCTCTTATTATCAGTAACATCAACATGTATTTATATATTTTAAAAGTATAAAGTAACTTTACATTAGGTTAAACACTAAAAAAGATAAATACAATAGTACTTTTTAACATTTTTCGTATGAACACAAATGTACAAACATACAAAATATATTCTCAACATAAAAATTAATTAAAACATTGTTTTAATTGTTTGTAAAAGTAATATCTTGTCACTTTGCTGTTTTATTTAATGACTGCAATACAAAGTTGTTACATAGATTTTACTATATAAAAACATCAATTAATAGAAATAAAATTCATTGAATAATTTCTTGCTTTTTTTCTTTCTTTTTATTCTAAACTTTTATTTCCTTGCCTACATCAGTCCTTAGTAAGTATTTCTGTAGGATTTAAGTGTAAACTTTCTGCCTGTCATTTTTTACATTAACTTTCTGTAGCTTCTTATAAAATAAAGCCTAATGTCGATTATTTTTAAATATCAGTAGTTTGTGTTGTACAATTCTACCCATTACATTAAATTGTTCTAAATGGTGTTGAATAGTTCATACTGACTCCAAAAAAACGCTGAATCAAAACTGTCCGTTTGACTGTTTGTTTTATGGAATTTTGACTAAAAGGGAATGTTTTCTATATATTTATCTATATGCTGCAAAGTCGTCTGACATGTTTCAAGAGATATGCCCACTTGTGAAATATTCTGATACATTAATCCATAAAATGCTGCATTTTCTCTGGTGTTATATTTGTACTTTTACTTGTTATCAATACTTTTAAATGTATATGTATATGTACATCCATTGTCCATACATTGTAAACATGCGAACGCATGAACAAAAACTGACTGAGAAGTACAGAAATTGTAACAAATGAATGTTACAAAAAGATGTTGACGATGTTCGTAAATACAGAGTGGACCATATATGTAACTCGTAAACCTGAATACTCCTAAACTATTCATTGGTTGAAAATTGTTATATATAAAAATTGCATAATTTTAAAAGGGACATTGCGTAATGTAATTTCTTTTCTCTTCGTACGTGGAAGCGATTCGAAGATTTGAAAATTAATTATGTTTTTTAAATGGAATGTATTTTTTATGACAAAATTCGAAAGAATGTTAATTTCTGAATAAAAAAAAATATTAACAATTATTGGTCCTAAATCCAATAGTTAACGATATATTACCGAAATTTTTACTAATATTGAATTTAATTGATATTTATAACGACAAATTAAAGTCAATAAGACCTACAATTTTTTGTCTCATTATCTGAGAATTTATTAATGGGTTTTTGTTCTCTGATTTGTAATATATTTTGCTGACCCCAATAAATGCATTCTGCAATGCACAGTAGTTTCTTGCATTTTTTCATTATCTGCGCTCATTAATATAGAAAGTTTACTCAGCATCACTGTATATTTCTCATTAAACAGTATTAATTAAAATGATTTTTGTAAAACTAGCTATGTATCTGAACCGATTTTGAAAATCATTTGATGTATAAATATCTTGAGAAAGTATAAATAGAGATATACAGACAACATTGAGCTTGCATGTGAAGGATCAAAGAAATGCCAATCCGATTAGCTTTCATTTTAACAATTATTTTTTTGCAGTCAAAATATATTCTCTATCGATAAAAAAAGAAAGCGTATTTTAACCTATAACAGAAGATATATTTTTATAACTGTGTATTCCTAGATAGCACACAGACATCATGTGAATGCCTTATAGACGTTGAATAAAAACCTAAAGATGTCCAAAAGACGTCTGAACGACGTCTAATGTTGCAAATCAAGATGTCTTTGAAACGTGGCATTATGAAGTTCTATGCACTGGCATTAAAAACGTCTTAAAGATGTAATTTTTATACGTTGTTAGAACATGCCGATTCGTACGTCTTCAAGACGTCTAGATAAGGTCGTAAGACGTTCAAACGATGAGTGGACGTAAAATGGATATCTTTAAGACGTCGCGACGTGCTATCTGAATTGGGTATTTTTAATTGTCACTTCTCATCATGCGTTTTAATACCACAGTTGGAAACAATAAATTGTGTAGAAAAAAATCTATGATTAGGCCTAATGAGTACATCGAAAGTGGGATACGGTACACTACATTATTTGCTTATACAGGGTGACACACGTAAAGCGTTACAATCTGTTTTCTCCGAAACTATTAACGATACCGACTTGAAATTTGAACACGTTAAATGACTCAAAGGGTTTAACATTTTAGAGTACAAAACTTCTGGGGATGAATTTCCTAGGGATGGAAAGGGTGCAACCCTCAATTGTTTTAAATGAAACTTTATATTAATTTTTCATTATTCTGATATATGTTATCAAGATTAACAACTTTTATCTGAAACATTTTCTTTTATTCTGCATAGTTAAAAAGTTCTAGCGAAGGATAATTTGTTCAAGAATAATTTTGGGGTGGGACAGAGATGATCAAAATAAACATTAGTTATGATTAAAATTTATTGTATAAGATGTTCAAAATATTGACCATTCATTTTTGAGAATTTATTTATTCATTTTTTTCCTTCATGTTATCCAAGCTCGAACTGATTGGGTTTGAATAAACCCAACTGGGACTGATGTTTGAATAAACATTCGCTCCATCTCCAGTCATAAAACCCATCACAATCACAAACTACACACTTTAATCATTTTTATAAAACTCAATTATTGCTTATAAATCCTACATTTTTTCATTTTGATCATCTTTGTCTCACTCCAAAATTATTCTTAAAAAAGTTAATCTTCGCTATAACTTTTTAACTATGCAGAATAAAAAAAAGTATTTCAGATAAAAGTTGTTAATCTTGACAACATTTATCAGAATAATGAAAAATTAATATAGTTTCATTTAAAAAAAATCAGGGGTTGGAAATTCATCCTCAGAAGTTTTATACTCTAAAATATTAGTCCCTTTGAACCATTTAACGTGTCCAAATTTCAAGTCGGTATCGCTAATAATTTCGGAGAAAACAGATTGTAACACTTTACGAGGGTCACTCTGTATATTAAGAATTATTAAGTATCTTCGCCTAACATTCTATTAATGTTAATACAAGCTTGTATTCTAGTATCCTACAAAATCGAATTCGAGCAATTCGTGTACTTTCCTTTGTTAACTGTCGCTTATATGTACATAACTTACACTTTCGCTACTTCAAGTTACTTCAGAGTCAAAAAAAAATTTCGTTTAATTAATGTGATGAATAATAAACAAAATTCTAAAATTTTAAAGAATATAAAAAATTGTTATTACACCAATTTTTTAAATTTAATGTTATAATATGCATGATACTAGGTCCAAAGTTATACTATACAATATACT